GGGGGGGAGCGGCCTGGAGTGGCATGGGCTGGCCTTCTCCCCAGAATCTGCTGAAGCTGCAGGGGGCCAAGCACGTGCGCCTGGACCCCCCCTGCATGAACACCACGGGCCTCACCCGCTACCTGAACGACCCCCAAGTGCGCCTGGCCCTGCACGTTGAGGAGGGCGTCCCGGCCTGGGAGATCTGCAGGTGAGGGGCCCAAGGGCAGCTCCTGCCGCCTCCGGGGAGGGGGGGGCTTCTGCAGGCCGCCCCTAACTGGGCCCCCTTTTTCCAGCTTTGAGGTCAGCCATGGCTACAAGCGCCTCTACACCCAGATGAACGACCAGTACCTGAAGCTGCTCAGCACGGGGGTGAGTGGCTGGGGGGGGGCGGTGGTCCTTGGCATCCTGCCCTCCCCCCCCCAGTGGAGGGGAAACCAGGCTGGCCGTTCCTCCAGGGCCCTGCTAACCCTGGCCACCCTCCCTCCCTTCCTTCCTTCCTTTTCTTTCTTTTTCTCTCTCTGTCCCTCCCTCCCTCCTTTCCTCCTTCCTCCCTTCCTTCCTTCCTTCCTTTTCTTTCTTTCTTCTTTCTTCTTTCTTTTCTCTTCCTTCCTTCCCTCTCTCCCTTTCTTCCTTTCTTCCTTCCTTCCTTTCTTTTTCTTTCTTTTTCTCTCTCTGTCCCTCCCTTCTTTCCTCCTTTCTCTTTCTTTCCTTCCTTCTTTCTTCTTTCTTTCTTCCTTCTTTCTTTTCTCTTCCTTCCTTCCCTCTCTCCCTTCTTTCCTTCCTTCCTTCCTTCCTTCCTTCCTATCTTTTTCTTTCTTTTTCTCTCTCTGTCCCTCCCTCCCTTCTTTCCTCCTTTTTCTTTCTTTCTTTCCTTCTTTCTTTTCTCTTCCTTCCTTCCCTCTCTCCCTTCTTTCCTTCCTTCCTTCCTATCTTTTTCTTTCTTTTTCTCTCTCTGTCCCTCCTTTCTTCCTTTCCTTCTTTCTTTCTTTCTTTCTTTCCTTCCTTCCTTCCTTCCTTCCTTCCTTCTTCCTTTCTTTCAAAAATTTATATTGCCACCTACTTGCCCATAGCAACTCAAGGCAGCTTACAAGACATAAAAGCAGAATATAAAATAAAAGCAAAAGTCATGACAATAAAAACAGTGAAATAATAACGGCCCCCCCAACCTTCTCTGCAGAAATACCGCATCTTGCTGTACAATGGTGACGTGGACATGGCCTGCAACTTCCTGGGGGACGAGTGGTTCGTGGAGTCCCTGCAGCAGAAGGTGGGCTCGGCTGGGCTGGGCTGGGCTGGGCCGGGCTGGGCCAGGGTCGGTCTCCGGGCGGCCCTGGAGAGAAGAGGCCGTCCCGTGCCCCCCCCGCCCCGGTCCAGGCTGGGTGGGGTGGGGGCCAAACCTGGCGCCCCCTGCTGTGTGCTCTGGGCAGGCGCCCGGCCCGTCTCTTCAGAAAGAGCTGCTTGGTCCACCTTCTACCGGTAGTCCTCAACTTACAACCACAGTTGACCCCCAAATTTCTGTCGCTAAGCAACACAGTTAAGTGAGGCTTGACCCGTTTTATGCCCTTTCATTGCCACAGTTGCTAAGTGAATCAGTGCAGTTGTTAAGCTAATAACCCGGCTTCCCCATTGACATTGGTTGTCAGAAGGACCCAAAAGGGGTTCACACGACCCAGGGACACTGCGACCGTCATAAATACGAGTCAGTGGCCAAGCGTCTGAATTCTGATCACGTGACCCTGTGAAAAACGGTCCCGGGTCTTCTTTTTCAGTGCTGCTGTAACTTTGAACGGTCACTAAATGAAGGGCTGTAAGCTGAGGATTACCCGAATGTAGGGCCACCTTGCAGGGAGACGGGGGACACAGATATTTCATAATAAATTGCACGTAAACAGGATGGAGGGGACCCTCCTGCAGCCCCTCCTCCCTCTGGGCTGGGGCAGGCGTGGGGCTCAGGAATTCTGGGGCACCGTCTGCCTGCAAGGGGGATTCCTCGCCAGCTTCCCCTGGGACCCTCCCCAGAAGGCCGGACCGGGGGCCGCCTGCCCCTCGCCTGGGCTTCTCCTTGGGGCCCCTGGATGCCCAGAGACCTCACGGCTGCCCGGTCCTCTCGCCGGCAGGTGGAGGTGGCCCGGAGGCCCTGGATCTTCACGGACGAGGACGGCCAGGACCAGATTGGCGGCTTCATGAAGGAGTTCACCAACATCGCCTTCCTCACCGTCAAGGTGACTTGCTTGCAGGAGCAGAGCTTGCCCCTCCCCTCCCAGGGTCTCGGCGAGCCCACCTGTCCACCGTCCCGTTGGCACGTGCAGCCAGAGAAACTCCTGGGACATTATTTTACCAGGAGAATAACTTTACTGATAACTCCACGTAGGCATGGAAGTAGCAACGCCAGTTCTAAAGTTTTTGCACGAAACCGTAGGTAAAGTAGGTAAATCGTGGCAAATATCTGCAGCTCAGGTGTAGGATGAGGGTGAAGGTTCGTTCTCCGAGCTTCTGGGTTGGTTTCCGAACGTTTCATTACCAGGCTGGGTAACGTCTTCAGTGGAGTTTAGAGGGGACGTCAGTGTCGTTGTTCTTCTGTTTATAAGGGCTTCATGTGTGGGTGTGTCGAGTGAGGATCTTGTGATGAGTCATCAGAGAGATGACTCTCACCAACCTGGAACTAAGGAGAAACTTCCAAACAGTGAGGGCAATTAACCAGTGGAACCACCTGCCTCCAGAAGCGGTGAATGTTCCAACACTGGAAGTTTTTAAGAAGGGACTGGACAGCCATTTGTCTGAAATGGTATAAGGCAGTGGTGGCGAACCTATGCCACACGTCCCAGAGGCGGCACTCGGAGCCCTCTCTGTGGGCATGCATGCCGCTGCCCTAGCAGAGTTCGCCAGAGTAGCGGGCACATGGTGTTTGGAAGTGACAGGGCAGGAAGTGAGCGGTGTTAGCCCCCCAGGAATGCCCCGGAGATGGCAAGGGACTGGCCCCAGCCACGCTCACCCAGTCTGCCGTGACCACTGCAGCCATGCCCCCCCCCCCAAGGGCACCACAATGTTGATGTAGCCCTCGCACTTTGCAATAAATAAGTGGGTTTTGGGTTGCAGTTTGGGCACTCGGTCTCTAAAAGGTTCGCCATCACTGGTATAAGGTTTCCTGCCTGAGCAGGGGGTTGGACTAGATGACCTCCAAGGTCCCTTCCAACTTCATTATTATTATTATTCCAACGACCCTGACCTGTAGTAACCTCCCCATCACGAGACCCCTCCCCAGCCTCTCACTGATGACTCATCACAAGACCCTCACTCGACACACCCACACCTGAAGCCCTTGTAAATAATCCACTGACACAGCTGAAGATGTTACCTAGCCTGGTAACGAAACATTCGGAAACCAACCCACAAGCTCGGAGAACGAACCTCCACCCTCACCAGTAAACCCCCCCCCCTTTTCCCCTGGACTTCCTCGTGGTCCATTGTCCACCAACCAATTGCATTCATTTTGTTTCGGGAACAATCTGAGTGCCTCGGGAAGTTTTCCCGGCATTTGACCTTGGGTGTTGGGACCGTCCCGGGCTACGTCAGGCTCCCTTGCATTCCTCAGTTCCCTCCCAAGCCTCCCTTGCGTTCCAGCACTGTTCCTGTTGTCTGGTTGCGAAGCCGGGGTGCGTGGTGGGTCCGCCATGACACCACCACCTTTGCTTGGTCTCTCCCTTCCGCAGGGCGCTGGCCACATGGTGCCCACCGACCGGCCACGAGCGGCCTTCAACATGTTCCAGCGGTTCCTCGCCCGGCAGCCCTTCTGAGCCCAGGAAGAGGGTCTTTCCTGGGGGGGTCTGGCCCCCTCCCTCTACGGCGTGGCTGCCAGGAGCGGCTCCTGACTGGCCCTTCGTGGAAGCCTGGAGGGAATCGGGCCCTCTGGCACGGCCCCGTCTGCCCTCGCCCTTCTCTGCACATTTGCACTGCCCTCAAGGAGGAAGCCAGTCCTCCCGCCCTCCTCCTGGGGGGGGAAGGGGGGGACCATTTCTCAGTCTTCGTTCTGGTTACTCTGGAAGGAGGAACTCGACGTGAGGTCCAGAGAGCAGTCATGTTCTCCTTTCTGGTCCAAGCAAGCGATTAAACTAGTATTTTTCTAATGGACAAGGAGCAAGGTGATTGACAGGTGGGGAAGAGGTTGCCTTGGCTGCAAAGCTGGGTCTGGGGGCGAAGGGTCCCTCTGGGGCTCCATCACTGGAGGGATTTTAAGAAGAGACTGGACAGCCATTGGTCAGGAATGGTCTAGGGCAGGGGTGGGCAACCTGGGCTCTTTTATGACTGGTGGACTCCAACTCCCAGGATTCCTGAGCCAGCCATGCTGAGGGGGAAGGGAGAGGTTTCCAAGCTGAGCCAGGCTGGCTCAGGAATTCTGGGAGTTGAAGTCCACCAGTCATGAAGGGGCCATAGTTCCCCCATGCTGGCTCAGGAATTCTGGGAGTTGAAGTCCACGAGTCATGAGGGGGCCATAGTTCCCCCATGCTGGCTGAGGAATTCTGGGAGTTGCAGTCCACCAGTCATGAGGGGGCCATAGTTCCCCCATGCTGGCTCAGGAATTCTGGGAGTTGAAGTCCATGAGTCATGAGGGGGCCATAGTTCCCCCATGCTGGCTGAGGAATTCTGGGAGTTGCAGTCCACAAGTCTTAAAGTTCCAAGGTTGGACGTCCCTGGTCTCAGAGTTGGACCAGTGGTGGGATTCAAATTCCTGAACAACCGGTTCTCTGAGTGGACACCCCTTTCGGAAGTCTGTTCTGGGTCTGGGCCTCTGAGGCCCAGAACAGACTTCCGGAAGTGGCGTCCATGCACTTCCGGTGAGCCGTTCTGGGCCTGGGAGGCCTCCCCATCTCAGAGCAGACTTCTGGAAGTGGGCGAAAAAGGGCTGGGGCTTCAGCCGGTTCTCCAAAGTCAAGAAAAAATTAGCTACTGGTTCCGCCGAACTGCTGCGAACTGGCTGAATCCCACCACGGGGTTGGACTAGAAGACCTCCAAGGTCCCTTCCAACTGTTACTTCTGTTATTATCCTCATCTCTTCCTTGCTCTTTCCTTCCTTCTCACCTCCAGCCCTGCCCTCTGGGCTGCCTCCAGAAGCTGCTTGTGGGGAGGATCAGCAGCCAAGCTGAGCAACGGGCAGCCGGCAGGAGTGCCAGCCTCCGGGGCCTCACCAGCTGCAGCAACCCGGGGTTCTGGCACAGCCTGCCCCCCCCTCCAGGAAGGGGGTGCCTGCTTCAGGGGCTGCCCAGAGCCCCAGTCCGCTGCAGAAGCTCTCACTGCCCCACCCACCAGCCAGCTGCCTCTCCCAAATTAAGGGGGGGGGAGCGTGTCAATCCGGTTGTGCCCTCGCCCTGCGGAGGGGAAGGCGGTGGGACAGCTGCCTGTCTGACTATCCCAGAATCTGCAGCCGAGTTGCAGCTTCTGGAGCTCCGTTGCGTCTTTCAGCAACCGTTCAGTGTCCCCTTTAGGGCTTAGGATTTTGGGGTGCTGCTGCCAGGTGTGCCTGGTTCAGCCCAAGAGCAGTTTGGACTCCCTGAGCAGCCAACGCAGAGATCCCTGACTTGGGGGTGCGAGCTCTGCCCCCCTCAGCACCCCCCCCACAACGGAGCCTAAATCCAGTCAGAGGCCTTTTGGGTTGAAATCCAGAGGTGCTGCAGGTGTTGCGCTGAGCCTCTTCCCCGGCCTGGATGGATCACCAAGACTTTGGCCCCATCTGCATTTTCTCGGCAGGAGGGGGTGGTCTGCAATGGAGCAGATGGTGGGGGCTCCCCTTTGCTGGGGGGGGGAAGCCTGGAGTCTTGGGGGGAGGGGGTTGGCCCAGAGGGGCCTCTTGAGTCCCTGGAGCTGCAGCACAAGGCAGGAGGCCTCCGTTCATCTTTCCAGTGGGTTCCATGGGGTGGCTGGGCCAGCCTACCTGGCAGGGCCGTTGTAAGGATCGGAGAAGGCCCTCCCCACGTGTGACCCCTTGCTTAAGACAGGAGGCGGAGTCGGGCAGCGTAGCTCTTTATTCAGCTGTCCCAGAGGCTTACAAAGACCCTGGTGTCCGGCAGGGCAGAGGGGCCCTCCTGGCTGGGGCAGGCAGGTGACGATCGAAGCAGGTGGGGGGGCGAGACCCAGGGCCCCTACGCAGCCCTGGGGGCCAGAGAAGGCCTGGGTGTCGCCCGGAGCTTCTCGATGACCTCCCGTAGCCCTTTGGTGAATTGCAGGTCGGCCCCGATGGTGAGGTAGCCCTGGAGAGGCAAGCAGGAGGGTGAGTGGGTGGGGGGNGGGGGGGGGGGCGCAGAGCGTCCCAGCTCCATGGGTCCCGCCTGGAGGGGCTCTGCAGGCAGCCCGGGTGGGAGGGGTCCTACTTACCAAGTGGCTCCTGATGGCCTCCTTGGTGAAGTCCATGCCTTCGGGCAGGGGGATCCGGACCCCCCTCTTGGTCTTCTCTGCAAGGAAGAGGAGGGGGCTTTGCTGGTCTCGGGCACTGCTGAATCGACGTGCTTCACCCCACAGCCCCTCTTCTGCAGCCCAGCCACCCACCCGGAGGCAAAGGATCCACCTCCCTCCCCCCACGGGGCTGCCCCACACGCCCCCCCCGCCTACCGTTGAGGAAGGGCATGATAGTCATCTGCAACAGCGTCTTCAGGGGGGCTTGCAAGGGGAGGAGCTGGAGGGGGCAGAGGGGAGAGGGGTTGGGACCGGTCCATCCTAGCACCTTTGGGCTGGGGGGTGACTAAGCACAGCCCCTCCCCCAGTGGTCAGGACAGGCTCTGCCCCTCCCTCGCCTAAAAGGCTTACTGCCAAAGATTCAAGGGCCGACTGGGTGGAGTAGATCCGGAACCTGAAGGGGGGAAGAGAGAAGGGGGGTGAGGGCCAGAAGCTCTGCCAAATTGGACCCACTGGTCACTCCCACCCCACACCCCCAGGGACCCCCAGCGCTACCTTCGGAGGTCCAGCTGCACCCGAAGAGCCTTGCTGTGAAGCACCACCTTGGCACTGAGGCGGGATTCCTGTGGGGGGGGGAGAGGCCACAATGGGGGAGGGCTGCCCAGAGCACAGCCTGCGGACCCCTCCCTCAGTTCTGCCCCCGTTGGACCTCGTGGATCTTGGAAGCCACGTCCCCCTGGCCCAGAAGGACCCCCATGGCTCCGCACCAGGAGGGAAGGATGGAAACCCCTCCCCAGGGCAGGGGGTCCCGGGTCGGTGGGCTCACCATGGTCAGGCTGGAAAGCAGAATTAGGGGCTGCTCCGGGGGGGCCAAGAAGATGTTGAGCAGGGCTGAGACGGAGACGGACGTGCCGGAGGTCCGGATGGTGCAGCGAGGGGCTTCGGTGACCTGCAGCTTCAAGGCCAGGGGTGCATCCGCCACATTGGGGTCCTGGGGTAGAAGATGGGGGGGAGGGGGATGGTTAGCCGAGGGGCCGAGCCGAAAGACAACCAGACCCTGCTGGATTTCTCTGGGGAAAATGGCAAAAAAGGAACCAGAAACTGCCTTGTGGCTTTCGGGGAGTTTATTTCAGCTGGCTAGTAATAAGGAATTGAAATTAAAACTGCTGGTTTGGACTCCCACGCTGAAAGGCCATAATGGGGGTGGGTGGGGGTTTTGCTTCAGAAGAACTGTAAAGGAGAAGCAGATGAAGATAAACGGGGGCTGTGGGGAAGCGAGACACCCCACTACAAAACCGAATGGCAGAACTGAGGACAGAAATCTGGAGAAAACAACGTCATGACGGTCGTTGCATGATTATTACGGGTCGTTGCATGATCAGGCAGGGATTGTAATTATGAGATTTTATTTGCCACCCATCTCGCTTCGAAATGAGATTATTCCTATGACACCGGGGTCCTTCCTGTGAAGTCTCCTTCCAAGCTCAACCCCCCCCCCCCCCGTTCTGCATCAAAGAAAAGGGGGCTTGATGCAGGCAGATCAACTCCACGGAAGGGTCTCATGCAGACTACTTTAATTCATCGGGCATTCTCAAAACATTAATTTACAGTTACTGTAGGGATTCTTCTGACATTCTTTGCATAATCTGTACCCCAACACGTTGGTTAAAAAAAAGAAGATAGTTTCTTCCATGCTAACAAAGCAAACAGTTCTAGTGGCTGGAATTCATAAAGACCTCGCTGTCTGGTACGTAGCCAGGAAATCCTGGTACCTAATCCGAAGTCCCTCCCAGTGGCCAGTCCGAACACAGATATGACCAGGTAACTTAAACTACATTACCCAGAAGGCTATCCCTTAAGGCAGCGGTTCTCAACCTATGGGTCGCGACCCCATTTGGGGTCGATCGACCATTTCACGGGGGTCGCCAAGCAAGGCTGTCCGCCATTTTTTTTCCCCTTTTCCGGCAGGTGCCTTACCTCCCTTGAGCTGGGCCAGCTGGTGGTCGGACTGCTCCGTCTCTGCCGCTTGCCAGCTATGCCTCGGCCGGCGCAGGGGGTGGAACCACGCATGCGCGGCGCTCCCGGGCAGGGAAAGTCCTCGACTTACGACCGGTTTAGTCCTCGACTTACAACCGGTTTAGTCCTTGACTTATGACCGGTTGGGGTCACGGCATTAAAAAGGTTGAGAACCACTGCCTTAAGGGGACAGTTCTTCATTCCTAAAATAGCTATATACAGTACTCTGACCAGCACACACACCCCTTACCAACAGCATGATGCTTCCGAAGAAAGAGGCTCGTAGCAAAACTTGCAAGTCCTTCGGCACCTGCAACGAGGGGCGGAGGGGGGGGCATGAGAGGCAGGTGAGGGGCAACGGCTTTACCCCTGCGCCCCCCCACCAGCCGTCTCTCCCTCTTTGCCACCACCCCTCGGAGAGACCCAGCCACCCAGCCACCCAGCCAGCCCGGCCTACCTGGTCCCCTGCAAACTCCATGTTCAGGACCCCCGCCCGGTAGTAGGAGAAGAGGGCGGAGTCAAAGAAGTACTCGGACAGCCCCATGTACACCATGCGCTCCGTCTCCTTCAGGAGGGGCTCCGGGGCCAGGTTGGGGAGGGTCTCGTTCTCCTCTCGCAGCGGGAAGAACATGCCCTGCCATCAGAAGGAGGCACCGCCGGGTCACCCCGGGTGTTTGGGGGCCCGGCCCCCCACCCCACCCGTTGCTGCGATCTGGGACAGAGCTGAGCCACAAGTGCGTGCCGGGAGTTGGGGTCAGGGAGGGTGGACACTAAACAGATCATTTAGTGACCGTTCAAAGTTCACTCTTACAAGCTTTATAGCAGCCCCCTGGTCACGTGATCAAAATTCAGGCACTGAGCAACTGACTCGTATTTACAACGGTCGCAGGGTCCCTAGTTTAACCGTTGCAGTGATTAGCCTAACAACTGCAGTCATCAAAGAGGGCAAAATGAACAACTTTCTCCCTTAGCAATAGAACTTTTGGGCTGAATTGTGTCATAGATCAAGGACTTGCTTGCATTCTCAGGCCCAGATTCCCTGCAAAGGCCTATGGCAGGGCTCCTCCAACTTGGCCCTTTGATGACTTGTGGACTTCAACTCCCAGAATTCCTCAGCCAGGCACGGTGTGCCTGGCTGAGGAATTCTGGGAGTCGAAGTCCACAAGTCATCAAAGGGCCAAGTTGGAGGAGCCCTGATCTATGGAGCTGCTCAATCCAAAAGGCAACTGGACTTTCTTCGTTGTTCTTTTTTCTTTGAAAAAGTTTTGCTTCTCATCCAAGAAGCTTTTCCAGTTCTAAGTTATAACCGAAGAAGCTTCTTGGATGGGAAGCCAGACTTTTCCAAAGGAAAACAGGAAAGTCCAGTTGCCTTTTGGAAAAACGCCCCTGGGATTCCCCGTGGAGGCATGTACAGACTCCCCTCACTGTATGTTTCCATAGTATTTAGGGTGGCATTACCAAATAAAAAATAAAAACCTAGCTTTTGTTAGCTATGGGGCGGGGGGGAAGGAAGGCAGCCCCTAGTGGGGCAATGTTTTGTTCCACCAGCCACAAAACGTGGCTGCCCTTCCCATTTGGCAGCCCTGAGGGTGACTGATCTGCCCATCCCAATTTCTCTTCAATGCCACATCCCACAAGGCAGCAAAGAAGAAGAAGAAGAAGAAGAAGAAGAAGAAGAAGAAGAAGAAGAAGAAGAAGGAAGAAGGAAGAAGAAGAAGAAGAAGAAGAAGAAGAAGAAGAAGAAGAAGAAGAAGAAGAAGAAGAAGAAGAAGAAGAAGAAGAAGAAGAAGAAAGAAGTTGGAAGGGACCTTGGAGGTCATCTAGTCCAACCCCTTGCTCAGGCAGGAAACCCTATACCATCTCGGACAAATGGCTGTCCAGTCTCTTCTTAAAGACTTCCAGTGTTGGAGCATTCGCCGCTTCTGGAGGCAGGTTGTTCCACTGGTTAATTGTCCTCACTGTCAGGAAGTTTCTCCTTAGTTCCAGGGTGCTTCTCTCCTTGATTAGTTTCCATCCGTTGCTTCTTGTCCTGCCTTCAGGGGCTTTGGAGAAGAGCTTGGCTTCCTCTTCTTTGGGGCAGCCCCTGAGATAGTGGAACTCTGCTATCCTGTCCCCCCTCGTCCTTCTCTTCATTAAACTGGACCTACCCAATTCCAGCAACCATTCCTTTTATGTTTTACCCTCCAGTCCCCTGATCATCTTTGTTGCTCTTCTCTGCACTCTTTCTTTCTGCACATCCACTCTCGCCCGCCCAGTTCTGAAGGTGTTGGGCATCGGGGACCCCCTGCCACAAGGGAGCCCCCTGCATGGGCCGCTCAGCGGGTACCTTGAAATGCAGGTCTATGTTCTCTGTGGTGACATGGGGGTCGCTGAGGAGGGAGTAGTCGCTGCCAACGTGTTCGTCCACAGGATTGCGCACTGGGGAAGGAGGAGGAGGAGGAGGACGCAGCTGAGGAGGCTGTGGCACCAGGCCCACCCTGGGCCCAGCATTCTCCCTCCCTCTTCCTTGGCAGGAAAAGGCAGGCTGCCCGCCACTCACCGGGCACCGTGTCCAGCAGGGAGTTGAGCAGCACCAGCCCTGCGTGGTTGAGCACTGGGCAGATCTGAAAGGCAGAGAGAAGAATCAGAGCTGCTGGGAAGAAGGGAGGAACAGACGGCCTCCAGGAGTGGCGGGTGCCCATCGCTGGAGGTTTGCAAGAAAAGATCGGACAGGATGGCATCAGGACTCCTGCCCTGGGTAGGGGGGGTTGGACTAAATGACCTCCAAGGTCCCTTCCAACTCTATGATTCCAGGAAGTGCTGGGTAGGGGGCGTCCAAACGGGTTCTTTACCTTGGCTGGCCCCAAACTCCTACAGGTGCCAGGTGATCCCTAAGACTATTCCGAACAGCAAAGTTCCCCCTGCAGTTGGGACCCCAGTGGAACCCCTGAGAGAAACCCTGGGCAGGTGGGAAATTAATGAAGGAGAATCTCTGTAGCTCAGGCTTGAACTGTGGGGGTCCTGGGTGCTCCCTGAGCTGGGTGGTTTCCTTGCAGCCGGCTCAGGACCCAACTAGGTAATATCATCAGTGGGAGGAGGAGGAGGAGGAGGAGGAGGAGGAGGAGGAGGAG